GAAGCAACCATCAACTGCAAAGCAAATGCATTTCAGAACTGATGGAGATACAAAAGCAGAAATTCTAAAGTTCAATCAAGGTAAACCATAACCTGAAGAAAGGAATGGCAGAATATTAAATAAAGTAATCACACTGGTTTTAACAAAGCAATATAGAACTGGATTCAAAGGTTGGTCTTATTTTACTATATTTCTTCTCTACTTAGTTATATTGGGAGTATAATTATGCCTACCAGGGGAATGATTCTCATTTAATCAGGAGCTCCATGATTTTAGGACTTCCAGAGGAAAAAATGGCAGACTGAAGATAGCACTGCAAAATGCAGAGCCAATGACCACAGCAAAGAATGAAGAGCCAGTAAGTAGACCAGCTCTTCAAACCTCTCTGCACAAGGAGAGGACTTAAGATCACCCACAAGTGCACCAGACAGCTGCTCCTCACAAGGAAACCACAAAATAGCAGTCTCTAGTGGGCTTAGAGCTCTGGGAGATGAAGGAATAGCCATCTAGCTCAAACTGCTGTTGGTGCCTTTGAAAGGACACAGTTCACATATTTCCTTTTCTAACCACTTCTGGAAATTGCTTGTTAACTGCTTTTCAGCTATTAGACACCTTTGGATCAACAAGTTTGTTAGCTCTGGGTAAATTTCCTTTCAATCCTTAGTAAAAGAAAGTTTTAACTACAACTTTAAGAACTTAATATTTTTTTTTTTTGGAACAAAGAGCAAAAGGGTGATTAAAACTTCAATTTTAGAAAGTTACAAATGGACTAAGGGTCCAGTTAAATTTGAAATACTTTTTTGGAATTAATTATAAAGAATCCTTCCTGTGGGAAAATGCTTTTGAATAAGATCTTAAAAATTGGACACTAGAGGGAACTAAAGATTACAATTAAAGGAGAAGAACACATAAACTCAACTTCCAATTACAGAATCGAGCAAAATTTTCTAACATTGGACATATTAAAGTCTATTTTTGAAAAATGACTCAGAAGTTAATATTAATAGTGTTAACAGAGACATCTGCCTCTATGGAGAGATTGTGTCTAAAAGATGTTATAAAAGAGGAACAAGTTTTATCTGACAAGATCAAGACTGAGAAAGTGGATTTACAAATGACAGGCTACAAGAATGATGTAAAAGATGTTACACTGGACATACAAAAGAAACCAGCTGATGCTTTAATAATTAAAATAATTAAAAGGGATCTACAAACAATAAGCCAAGAGAGTGACCTGAATAATTTTCCTACTGGATATTACAAAACATTGGATTTACAAATGAGGCTTGTTAAAGTTTTGAAGAATTTTGTGAAAAGGAAAGAATGAAATGAAAAGAAATCAAGTTCTATGACATTATTTGAAGGGACTAAAGATCAAGTTCATTAGAAGTAAAAGGAAGGAATATAAAGTCGGTTTATTTGATCAAGGTTAAAATAGATATGTTGTTATTTCTGGTTACCCTTAATTGACTTTTGCTGATCAGACTGAAACAATGAGGTTTTATGGACTTGTTTATAGATAAGAGATAGGATATGGGAAGAAGAGATCATTTGTTGTATTTTAAGAGGAGGTGATAAGTTAAAATTATTTATGCTTGTTGCAATGAAAGAGGGAAGTAACTTCTTTATATATTTCTTTTTTTTCTTTACTATATTCTTACTTTGCTTTCTTTTCTTTCTCTTTCTCTTCCCTTTTTTTTTCTGCACCTTCTACTCTTTTTAAAATTCTTCCTCCTTTTAGTTTGCATTAGTTTTTACTATTGTAATTATAATCTTTAATAAAATTATTATTTAACAAAAAGGAGGATCATGATTTTATTCAGAGCATGAATCATGTCAACAACTGCACAAATTTTGCAATCATATAGCTGAGGTGGATAGTGGTGAAATTCCATGAATCTAATGTGATTGTTGTCTAATGTGCCAGGAAGAGATAGTTAAGTTGACAGATTAAAGTAAAGTAAAGATGTTGTTACCAACAGTTTGGGTCATTGTCCAAGCAACTGTTTCAAACACAGCATCAAGCATGGAAAGAACCCCTTTGAGGAAAGATAAGTGGCTTGTTTGCTGTATCATGGCAAGGAGGAATGATGGAGTATACTCTTGGATATATTGCAAGACCAAGGACAACCTTTTTTTAATTGGAAAAAAAAATAGGATGGTTAACTCCATCCATCCTGCCATAGTCTTGTTCTTTTGCACCTTGTACAATGTTTTATGATTGGATGAAAACTGCACATAAGCTTTTCAATTTTGGCCTTGGCTTCTTGTGACAGCCCTATGTAATAAAGCCAGACAAGCCTATGTAAGGCAATTAACCTTGCCTTAAGGATGATCGATGAGACTGGTGCTTGACTGCATGAGTTTACTGCTTCAAAATGTGGGTATATTACAATGATGTGAAATGTAGATATCATCAATGACCACTATGCAGTTGAATACAGCTCATTCACTCTATTTAAATGTAATTCTTTCAATTTTGACAGTACAGCTATATGTCTGTTAATAGCACAGTATTACATATATATTTATCCACAAAATGAATTCTCTACTTTACATATGCCTTTCCTCCAATCAACAGTTTCCTTTCTAGAATTTTATTCTTAATATTCAGCAACATGAATTTTTCTTCTCATAGAATTAGAGAGTTGGAGGGCCTCAGAGGTGATTTAATCCAACCTCCTACTCAGGGAAAATCTATTAAAGCGTTCCAGGAGAACATAATACTACATATGGCAACCTAATACACTGTTCGACAGCTCTTCTCCTCTGTACTGAGCATAATCTGAAATATGTTAATCAAGAGATCTTGTGATTGTATCCAAATGAACAAACGTTAACAACAGGAAGAATGAGTGTTATTTAAAATTGTAAGATTTAGATCAGAAGTAAATAATTTAGGACTTACAGTAAATGTAACTATAATGCTAAAAACAGACACTGAACAATAATTTGTTTTTCTTCCTAAAACTGTAAGAATATCAAAAGGCATAATCGTGAAGTTTTAAACACCCATTGTATGTACTATAATCTCAACTTTATTATATACTATGCTTGTCAAAAATACAAAGTAATAAATTATAAGAGATGAAGATGTGAGTAATGTTATAATTTAAGTTCCTATGAATAAAATAAACCTACACTGTAGGAAAAAAGATACAATATTAATAATTCTCATATGATGTCCTGATATGCATATAATACAAAGACAGACTTCTTTTGCCTGATTATGGTTAGTTATATATCTGAATCCATCCTAAAGAAAACATGTTTTTGGGAATATTTTACAAATTGAAACTATGGTTTGAAGAGCTTATTGCTCCTGGCCTTTTTTAACCCTGGTTTATCATGTCTGAATACAGAATTCTTATTCATTTCCAGTTTGGTTTTGTGCTTGACCCCAGCTTCATACCAATCTATAAAGATGCCAGGCAATACCAGTTTAAACATGCCTGTTCCTCAGGCTGAACTGTTTTCCTGTTTTCTTTTTCCTTGAAGTCATCATTCTTTTTAGCAATAGAATTCTTTCCATGGCTAATTCTTCCATGTGCAGAATTCACAAATTTGAGGAATCTGACCTTCAAATGCAAACTGTAAGTTAACCCACCACCACCATCAAAATACTTATTTTAATAAATGGTAAGAAAAAAAAAGGGAAAAATATACACCTGTATGAAAGTCCATAACTATTCCCCCAAACCCACCTCGCAAATACTCATAACATATGAATAGTACCTTTCACAAAGACGTGAGGAAAAAGCCTCATAACATCAAATACACACATACACACACACACACACAAGCCACATTTCATTAAAAAGACAAAAACAAAGATAAAACACTGGCCTCATTAAAACCCACATGAACAGCATAGGTTAAAAAAGAAATTAAAAACCAAAAGTTCCAAGTCAATAAACCCAAAACGCACTGGCTACTTTTTGTATGGTTGTGAAGTTTGCCTCATTATTGGAAGAAAAACAAACCAGGCTTAATATATCATAGTTAAACACAAACAAGAGAGGGAAGGCAGGCAGAACATAGATTCTGCAATGCTTTCTTCCCTCTTTTCCAGCAGTGGCCATATGTGTATAGAGGAGTATGGGGTGAATTGCATTCACTATTCTCTGAGTTACAAGATAGAGAGGGAAGTGGACTTAGAATGGAGCAGTCAGCGATGTCCCTAGATGCTGCCTATCTGCTGATAAGGGTGCACCAGGGAAATTTTTCATGACTATTTTTTTCCCCTCCAAAGCCTAGGGCTTCCTCATATTTGAACTCACTCTGTCTTTGCCATATATAAAATGCACTTTTATGTTATTTAAAAATTCTATAGTTTTTACATATTTGTCCACTAGGAAATTGATTTTGGTGAACTGGGGAAAACTGATATTACTGTGAAAACAGAATAATATGTTCCCTTTGGCAGTATACTGGCAAAGATGGTATACCAAAACACATGTAATTTTATGTGGTATACCATTTTTGATAGATCATGCTTTCTTTTTGATGTATCTATTTTATGATCTTATTTTTTAAGTTGTTCTGGTCTACAGTCATAATAAACTAAACTAAACTACCCTTGCTTTGACACTTCCTCTATAAATATCTGCTTAATTTATATATTCCTACAGAAACACAAACTTGTATTGACTGGGTTCACAAGTTTTATTAAGTTGTGGCTTGTTTAAAACTCTGGTTTATTAAATGTTACCCAAAGTCCACTGGTAATGAGGTGGGCTATAAATTACATGGCTGTGTTTACACAACATGCTAAGACAAGCAAATCATATTGTGGTTTAGCACAATGAGTGAACTGAGTCATGAAAATTCCAGCACTATAGTATTCTGTGAAAAAATGGAAGACAAACTACAATCTGTTATGTCTGTGTTCATGGCTGTTTACTTAGTGTGCACTGTGCCAAATACCTATGCAGATATAATCTCTTGAGTTATAGCAAAACAACTTGACATGAAAGGAAAGTGGTCACAGCAATATTTACCAACTGGGTCTTTTTGATTCTGTAGTAGTATTTTACTGTTGCTGCCATCCATATTTGCCATGTTAATGGTGTTCCCATCAGTCCAATAAAGTTTCCTTAATGAAAAGAGATATAAAACACTGTTGCATTAAACATATTTACAAAGTAATCATAACTTATTATAGAGATGATATTCCATTGTGGAATAACAGCCACATCTTATAGCTTGCTATTTTACTATGGATGTGACGGAAGGCACAGACATCTTTTTTCCTTTTCTTATTATGGAAAGAAATTTATGATTCTGGAACCAAACTGGAATTTTTGTGGGGTAGTGATGTATATGGAAAATAAGGGGCTTTGGAGCTGGTGAACTCTTATCTCCAGACATGACTGTATTTCCTGAAACTGTTATCAGAACATAATACGAGTATTATGGATAGTGTGCCTCCCTATGAGCCAATAAAGCTTTTTGTGGGCTATCTTCTAGGATCCTGAAACCAGTCTTCAATCAGAGATTGTACTGAATTTTTATTGAAGCTGATTTCTAAATCTAGTCAGAAAAAGAATTTTAAATTGGCATGCACTGATAATAATCATTGTATCTGCACTATTTCCTTTATAAAACTAAATGATATAACAGTAAGATTATACTGAACAAAATAAGATATTACATTTTACAGATGTAAAGTTGTGATTTTAAAATATATTTAATAAATTTGGGTTTTCTAATTGGAAATTGGAATCCATTTTTTTTTAAGTTTTAAGAATGACAATAAATATGTCTTGTTTACTTTTTACATTATTATGCTGTATCAAAAATAAACTGTGCAGTGGTAGCGAATGTAATTTCCTAGAATCCAAAGATACTTTGTATAGGTTGCATTACATAATTTTTAACCTGTATTGTTCTTTAGAGTACAAATAGTATCACTGCCTCCTCCAGACTGTGATTAATATTAGAATCTCAGTAATATTTTAAATCATGCAATAAATAAAATGCAGTTCTAGTACCATGAAAAAAATTACAACTTGTCCCACATGTACTTACACATACAAAGGCAAAGATCTCTAAAAAAATTAGCTATCCATATAAACATTGGATACACAGAGGTCTAATTTATTATCTCTTCCTCCTCACACACTTTTTTTTGGGGGGGTGGAGCCTTCATTCTAGTATTTCATGGAGATTTCACTCCCTATAGGAAGCTAGAATTTACTAAATGTTCTCTTTATGTATTTATGTATTTATATTTCTTCTATTTATATAGCTACCTACTTCCCAAGTGACTCTGGTTGTCTAACAGAGGGTTACATAACATCGAAGTACAAATAGCATTTAACTTGACAAGCAAACATAAATTTATATCTCAAAGAATGCACAATATTTACTATCCCAAAGCTGTACTGATAGGAATAATACTTTACCCTTTAGCTGGATAAACTGCAAGAGATTGTGGTTTATCAATTCCATGTATAATTGAAGTTTTTAAAGAGCCATCTAAATGTGCCACATTAATTTGTGTTTCATCAAATTCTGAGCTAATCCAGTATAAATTACGTGATAACCAATCCACAGCCAGTCCACGAATGCTTTGAATATCTACAAAATATAAAACAAAAACTATTTGCCCAAACAGCCCTGCTGGTTACTCTTTGCTGAAAAAAATAGTTTATATGCTGTCCAAACCCCAAGTAACTTCATGCCTGTAATGCTTGAATTTTATTTAATCTCAAATTAGCTTTTATGCTACAATATACAGGACTGAACAAATATATCATTATAAGCAGGAAGAGCAAAATGTATGACCAGTTCTCGAGAACTGCTCCTGTCTGTGCTCCTGCTCTCTGAAGATGCCGGTCACAAATGCTGGCGAAACGTTAGGAAACAAAACTTCCAGAACACGGCCACACAGCCCGGAAGACCCACACCAGCCAATACAAATGGTCTGTTTTATACTGGTCCTTTTGTGGGCTTCCTGCAGGATTCTGCGGTACAAATTATATATATTAAACTAGATCAGGTTTTATGGCTCAAACGTTCTCAATAGATGAAGGGGCATTGGGGTGTATTTAATCAGCAGTTTCTTTTCTCCCTGTAGGTAGATAGATCTGGATCCAACCATATATAATTACGATTTTGTTTTGGATACTCCATGATGACATTCTAACACAAGTTAATAAAATATGAGAGAAACTGCTTAAAAATTAAAGACTTTTGAAGGGCACATTAGATTTAGAAAATGAGGTTATCAAATGTTAAAATCAAATTTAACCATTTACAGAATTATTGAAAAACAATATGTATCAACCAGCTTTATTTCCCGGCCATGAAATTGTATCTTAGAATTTTTGAGGGAAAAACAACTGTGGAGTCCTTGGGGTTCTCTGAGCTTGGTTCTTTTCTTGCAAATGTTTCATTACCCGGCTAGGTAACATCTTCAGTGCTAAACAAAACCCCATCCCCCACCAGCACTGGCAAGGCATGCCACAGT